ATATATATATATCAAAAGAGGGTTACGCCATTCTTCTCTAAACGAATAATTCATCCAAAAGCGAATCGAATCAATAAGGATATTCGACCGGATAAAGAAACAATTGGTTTGCCGATATTCTCTTTTCACGAAAGTAAGCTCTCGAGCAGTCGCTTTGCAACTTCCTCGATATTTTCTTGCGCATCTGTGGTATGTAACCAGTTTATATTCTAAAATGCATATATCCACATATATGTATACATATATTTATATGTATGTGGTAAACGGTTGGTTGCAGTAAACGGACGATGCAGCCAATAACAGCGAAATCGATCATATTCGATCTTCGTCTTGTCAGTTATTACGATCCGCGCGCCAAATCATTTGCATTCATCGCGGGCAAATGCGGCAAGTTTCGTCTCGCACTGTATAAGAGATATGCAATATGAAAAGTATCCTTTCGACGATTTGAAAGACTCGATGGAACGTTTTAATTCGTCGTAAAAATTTCACTTTCAAAGAAAAAGAAAAAGAAAAAATCGATGGATTTCCGTGCTAGAAACCATCATTCCATACCCGACACGCGTCTTCGATGAAGCGACGACAAAAGAAGGGATAACAAAACCATTTTGGGGGTAGTCAAATAATGATAACAGACCCATCTTTCCTTGAACGATAAAACGCGGCACGTACGCGCATCCACGTACGTTGAAAGGCGCGCGAAACGTCGCCTTTCACCGCATCGCGTTCCGATCGCAACATTTACCACTCCCCCTCGCTCGTATCATTTCCTCCCTCTCGTTTCCTTTTCACAACTCCTCTCTCTTTCTCTCTCTCTCTTTCTCTCTTTATATATATATCTACGCTCTCAAGCCCCTGTTTTCGTCCCTGCCAAATCAGATAGAGCACCCTCCACCCGATGCAGTTGTCCACGAAATTTTCACCCGATATCACCCGAATTTCTTTTCGATTCGCCGACCAAACCTTCGACTCGCGAGTACGATATATATATTCACATAAGAGCGCACGCGAGAACAACCGCGATTCCATAAGCGGAATTCGAATTTCGATACAACGCGAAACCACTAAGGGGGTTGGCGAATACGTGGAATACGGAATACGGAATACGGCGTAGTTCGGGTGTAGTTCATTCGCCACGAAGTTGCGTCGGTGTAGTACACCGCCGTTCATCCAGTTCCACGTAGCGAACGCGTGTGTATGCGCCGGAAAGACGTTTATGTTCCCCGCTTCCTGCGCGCGATACACCTGCGCCACCGCCGATTCACAGCTATGCACAGCGTCGCCATCTACCTTCGTCGCGTTTATACGTGCAGCAACGGGCTATAACTGTATATATTGCAGGGCGCAGCGTGTATCGCGTGCATCTGCCTCCCCTTCCCCTCCACCACGGGAAGAGAGTGTGGGGGGATGTGTCTCCTCCCTCTTTCCTTCTCGAGCGAACGTTCGCGCTCGTCGAACGACGACGATGGAAAATAAGGTTAAATTAGTACGCGTATAACGCAGTTTGTCGCTGACAGCGAGGGCCGCCGTAAAACGGTTATTAAGGGGAACTGTGCTCGCGTAAAGGAAAATTCTGCTCGTCGTTCTTCTTGTTTACGGGTAAATTCGATAGAGATTCTCCGTTTAACTCGATAACGAGTAGCTTTCTCTGATTTTCCCCGTGTCCAATCGCTTTGCCGATTCCGGTGTTACGGACGAATGTAATAACGCATCGTGGTAAACGTGTCCTCTTTGATACCGTTTGAGTTTCACACTTTTAACGATGATTCGAATGATTTTTATATTATGAATATTAATTCGAACAGTTTCACGCGTTAATTAGAGAGGATTTCACGGATCGAAAAGATAGTCCCTTTCTTTTACGGGGGGTATTATTGGGGTAGGAAGATCATTATTACGAAGAAAGGAAGTCTGAAGAAATAAAGAGACGATATCGTAAATCGAAATTGTTTGTGCATTCGACCGTATCCGCTTATTGTCGCAGCGTTGAATCTCTTCAATAGGAATCGAACAAAAGCACGAGCCTCGACGCACGATCCAATTAGCGGGCTGAGAATCACGTAATTCAACAAAGAGTCGATCAATTCTGCAACACCGCATTTCCATAAGTAAGCCTGCCAAGCATGTTTCATCCGTCTCCAATCGCGCTCGTACCGTTCCCTCTAATTATTGTTCAACGCGTCCAAATCCACGAATCGAACGAATTAAAATGCAAGATAAATAATTCGCAGAAAGGAGAACAAGGAGGAAACGTAATCGAACGGAAATTATCGACACGTCCCGAATCCCCGCCGAATTAATAAAATTGTTCTTTTACATCTTTCTCTTCCCCTTTTCCCTTTCTATTTCATTCCATTTTTTATTCTATATATATACACATATGGAAACACCACCAGTGTATTTGACCTAGGAATCCGTAACACGGTCACCGTGCAACCCGTGCAATCATATTTGTAGCCCGTCACTTGAAATCCCCTTGTACAGCTTTCAACGAAACGCGTTCAATCTCGTTACGAGCGATATACTCTCGAGCACGCGCGTACACGTGTTACGCAGGGGGGACGATCGGAGAGAAAAAAAAACACGGTGTACATACACGACGAGAATATTCCCCTCATTAAGGGTGCAGGGACGAAACGAGGCGTCGAACGTTCGCGCGATGCGTCCAGATAATCGCAGGAAACGAAATGGCGAAACGAGGGGGGTGAGGAGAGGAATACAGGTTGCGTAATTCCGCGTCATCGCGTTTTTATCGTTTCACGTGGACGCGCACAATGGACGCGAACGCTCGCTTCTCGTAAATGCACAGCTTCCTCCTTTTTTTTTTTTTTCTCTCGTTTCCATTTTTTTTTTTTTTTTTTTTTTTTTTATTCCGCTCGGCACGTTCTCCACGAGGAAGAATATATCCCGTATATAGATCACGATATCACCGCCTGCGTGTGCGAAAGAAACGGCGAAATTATCGGCGAGGAAAAAAATATACCCTCCTCTCGAGGGCGCGATCCCGAATCGCACGTAACTGCCCTGCATTTCGGTGAACGCGTTTGACCAACTGCCCTTTATATCACACCGATCGAGTTTCGCGCACATCGATACTCGATAGTAGAGACTTCAACCCTCCTCCCCCCGTTTCATTCCCTCGTTTCGAGCTGACCGAATTCCCCGGAACACAACGCTCAACGGTATCCACGCTCGATAGGTCAACTGCCAAATTTAACGGACGAAATGGTAATAGGTCTCGTATCGAGACTTCCGCCGTTGAAAATCCATGATTATCGCTCGTTTTTCTTTACTCTTTAACCTTTTAGATTGGCGTGTGTAACTTCAAGTATGCGAAGTATACAGTCGTTGGAAACTATACGTATGAAGATCGTGTGGGTTCGAGGAACGTTAAACAAGATACTCGTCGAGAGGTTGGAGAGCGAGACGCATTGTCGAGAGGCAATGAAATTCAACTCTCGGTCGGCGAGCCATCCACTGCCACGCGCATAACAGGGCGCATAATGCGCGGGTTCGAGGAACGGGATTGAACGCGGCTTAATTAATCACGGTGAAATTCGGCGCTAAAACTTGTTTGCAGTTACCCGAGGCCTCGGGCGAGCGAGGGTTAATTTCGCTACGCACGAGCGAAACGTTCGATCGCGATTCGCAACAAATTTCCGTCCGTCGTGAATTTCCCAGATTTTTCTCCCTTTTTCTCTCTCGAAAATTCACTCGAGGTGATCTCGAGAAGCGAACGTAAAGGAAAATTTTCCTCTTCTTCGGGCCAATCGGGACGATTGCGTAACAGGAGAGGCGGGAAAACTCGACGTTTCTGCGAGTCGGTTTGTTGTTGCGTAATCGGCGGATAACCAGGCTGCCAGAGACAATTATACGTCGATGATGCGGTTGCCGCAATTACGAGCAATATCTCTCTTTTCCGCCACGCAACTATTTGCCGGTGCGCGTTCGTTCCACGTTTACAGAGGATCACGGAAAATTCCAAATATCGCGCAATCTCGTCTCGTGCGCACGAATTCTTCGATCTCGACGGGGGAAGGGAAATCGTCGATTCGTCGCGTTTCGCATTCGACTTCAGCATTGCGTCGCGAATTCTCTACGGTCGTTCGTCGATTCCTTTATTCCGTTCGGAAGGGACGCCGCCCCGCATCGAACGGCCGTTTCCGTGCTCCCGCTGTTCAATGCGCGCTCAAATGTATCGCACGCACTTCGCGTTGAAACGTTTCCTCTGTTTTCGAATATCCTCGAATACTTTTTCCAAACGAAAATGTTTATACTTCGGTGGTCGGAATGTTAAGCGGGTATCGCGGAGTTCCTTTAACTTTTTTTACGTTTCGTTGGTAAAAAAAAAAAAAAAAAAAGGAAAGAGAGAGAGAGAAAAGCGAAAAAGCACTTTCCACTTCCTCGCGCGTATCG